CTGTCTCTTCCATGCTTCTATGTCACTGGATCTATTTTTTTCATCAGTTTATTTTGTTCTTTAGATTCCACATATAAGTGAGATCATGTGATATTTGTCTTTCTCTGCCTGACTTATTTCACTTAGCATAACATACTCCAGGTCCATCCATGCTGTCCCAAAGGGTAAGAGATCCTTCTTCTTGCCTGACCTGGAGTGGCTCAGTGGTTGAGCATCAACCTGTGAACCAGGAGGTAACAGTTCAATTCCCTATCAGTGCACATGTCTGGATTGTGGGCTCAATCCCCAGCAGGGGCATGCAGGAGGCAGCCGATCAATAACTCTATCTCATCATTGATGTTTCTATCTCTCTCTCCCTCTCTTTTCCTCTCTCTGAAATCAATAAAAACATATTTTGAAAATGGGGGGGTGGGGTGGGGAAGGAGAGATCTTTCTTCTTTACAGCTACATAGTATTCCATGGTGTAAATGTCCCACAGCTTTTTTATCCCCTCATCTACTGATGGGTACTTGGGCTGTTTCCAGATCTTAGCCATTGTAAATAGAAGCAGCATGATCTTTAATAAGCCATTTCCCTTTCCTGGTCTTTACTTTAGTATTCTCATCTGGAAAATAAGACCATTTACTGGATCACCTGACAATGCAGTCTACTATTTGCATTTGCCAGTATGGGCTGTGAAAATTAATATCACTGTGTTTTCCACAAATTTCAAAAGCTCTCTTTAATGAATCACTTGAATTTTCCAGGAGAGTCACCAGGGCAAGAGCGAACTAAAGGCTCAAAGTCCCTGTGAGTGGGGAGATAATGTCTGTGAAAAGACTTGCTGTGGGGCCTGACACTTAGAACTTCCAGAAAGTGTGAGCCTCCTTTCCTCAACTGTGTCTTGCCTACCATGTTTTCAAATAGTAATCATTACAGAGGTTTCTGCATCAGCCCTCTACACACAGCTCCAATTACACCCCCCACCCCCACCCCAGAATTCACCAACACACAGGATCACCCAGGATAGGCAATGTGTGAACAATATTCTCCAATGACAGACGGTCAGCTCCAAAGCCCAGACCCTTTCCAGCACACTTTGTGGCCCCCTAGACAGGCCCATCACTCAGCCAACACCAACCAAGTTGTGGTCCCCGTGCTGCCATCTTCCACTTCTGATGGGACCTTCAGGCTGGGCAGATCTCACCCATGAGATAGAACTTGAGAAGAAGCCAGGGAAATTCTGGCAAGATTACTGACGATCTACCTAACTTTTAAGTTGTTGTCTGCTGGGAGGGAAATTCCCTTTCTGCTTGACCATTAGATGAACGTTTTAACTCTAGCTTCTAGAAAGGAACAATAAGCATAGCTTTTTTACTTTCTAAGTACCTCCATCAGAGTCACAAAATTATTTGTTTAGACAATTTAACTTTTATGCTTTCGTTCTGGGAAGAACCCTTTAAATAAGGACACTGCTTATTGCTGGTGATGTGTTTTGAATAAACACACACAATAAAGTGTGGGTAAAAGCCAACTGAAGGTCAAACAACTCATTGAGGAAGTTAAGTCTTGTGTACTCAGATTTCACTAGAAGCTTCAAAAATGAAAGCAAGTCTAGATTTTCATCTCAGTTGCTGTTGTTTCCACAATGAACAAGTGCTTTATCCTTAGCCAGTGTATAATCTGTGTGTGTATTATATAGAGAGATATTGTATATAACATATAATTATAACATAAATATAAAACATTATTAATCCATATGATTAATGTGTTAATTAATATAATTAATATAAAATTTATAAATAAAATAAGCATATTATATAATGTATCATTTTATGTATATATAAAGCAGGTTTATTTTAAGAAGTTGGCTTATGTGATTTTAGGGGTGGGCAAGTCCAAAACCCAGCAGGCTTGAGACCTTTGGGCAAGAGCTGACACTATAGTTCACAGGTGGAATTTCTTACTCCTCAGGGAAACCTTAATTTTGCTCTTAAAGCCTTTCAACTAATTGGGACAGGCCCACCCACATTATCAAAGAGCATCTCCTTTACTTAAAGTCAACTGAGCCTGGCTGGTGTGGCACTGCCGTTGAGCAGCAACGTATGATCCAGGCCATTGCTGTTTGATTCCCGGTCATGGCATATGCCCGGGTTGCCTGGTTGATCACCAGTAAGGGGTGTGCAGGAGGCAGTCAATCAATGACTCTCTCATCATTGATGTTTCTATCTCTCTCTTTCCCTTTCCCTTCCTCTCTCTGAATTCAATAAAGATATATTTTTAAAAACTAAAAATTAAAAAAATAATAATAAAGTCAACCGACTGGAAATGTTAACTACATCTACAAAATACCTTCACAGCAACATCTAGATTAGTGTTTGATTGAACTGGGTACTATAGCCTAACCAAATTGACACATAAAACTGACCATATAGTGTCATACCCACTAAATTGTATTGACTGTTTTACAGACTGTTAGGCTCTGAGTGTGACAATCACTCTCAGTACCATCCTGCACAGAAGGCCTCTATTAAGTACCCAGGTTGTGGTAGGTCAGCAAGCATCCACACTGGCCTCTGCCAGTCTATTCTGGTCCTCATCTGGGGGCAAGAGCATATACTGCCCAAGACCATGGTCCAGCTGTGGCCCTGTGGTCGTGTGACCAAACATCTCGGTTTCCCAAGTTTAGCACTGAAAACTCCGTGTCTCAGGAAACCTTCAGTCCCAAGCAAACGAAATGTTTGAACAACCTTCCCTGTTGACCTGCCCAAGCTTCTACAAATTCCACGCTCCAACCTCAAGGCTCCCAGAGGTCTTTCCATCCTCCTGGGTTCCCCCTGGGTAGGTCAAGGGCTCTAGGTTTCTGTCCCTGCCTCATGCTAGGGTGCTCAGGGCTCACTCAGCCAGAGCTTCCTCTAAGCAGGCCAGCTGCAAACACTGTCTACAGATAACTGTGGACACATGTTCTGCCCTGGGACTTTCAGGCTTGCTTTGTGATCTACAAAGCCAAGCTCTTAGAACTTGAAAATCTTGTTCTCACTCACAAAGTCTGACTTTTGCTGTCATTGCTATCATTGGCTATCTTCACTATTCTCTGTGCTGGGAGTTTAAACATTTTAATTTAATAAGAGCAGATAGCATTTATTGAGTGCTTACTACTCACCAGACACTGTTCCAGTATTTTATATCTATTAATTTATTTGATCCTCATGCTTCTTAAGGTGTTATTACTTGCACCCTCACTTAAAATGGAACCAGAAGTACAGAGAGACTAAGTAATTTGTCCAAGGTCGCATAACTAGCCGCTACATGTGAAGCTGGGGTTAAATTCTGGCACACTGGGCCCCAGGGCCTTGTTCTTAAATATGTTTCTTTGCATTTATTAGTAGGTTCATTGTGTTTGTTCAGCCTGAGGAGAAAGGTATAGGAGAGGGTTAGAAGGTCATGGGAAATAAGCCTAGGTCTGCATCTCCCAATTTTATCCCTAGAAGAACAAAGGGGCACAAATAAGATGTCAGTGTGTAGCATAACTGTGGTGGCACCCTAGTGAAATGGTGGAGGGAATTTTAAAGACCAATGGCAGAGGGCTGATTCAATTAATTCAACCTGATATCAACTCTCCTTGGAAGTGCAGGGTGTGGCACCACGGTGGGTGGGGATGCAGACAGGAGCTCCAAGGCTCCAAGTGCCTGCTGGGGCTGCCCCACTTACTCAGTGCCCTCCTTCCCTGACCCCAGGAACACTCTGGCCCTTCTCCTCAGCTACCAGGCCTCCCTGCCACCCCCTCCAGTGTAGCCTGCTCAGCCCCCTCTTGCTCTACCACTGAAGGTGCTCTGCCCTAGTTCCCCACCCCAAGGGTCTTTTCCTCCCCTTCCTGCCCCACCTCCCCAGTAGCATTCAGCTGCTCCTGGCCTCCCTCTCCCTTCTTAAGGTCTGTCCCCTCCCAGGGCCCATTTGGCCCCTCAGCTCCAGGGTGTCTCCCACCAGCAGGACCTGCAATGCTCTGACCTGCCAGGGCCCCTGCGAGCGTTCAGCATCCTTCGGGGTCTCTCTCACCCACCTCCCTACAGGGCTTGCCCAGCCCCCTCTTGCGATGCCCATCACAGCGACTCCTGGACCGAGTGGTTCGGCGCTATGCTGAAGTGGCTGATGCCGGCAGCATCTTCATGGACCACTTCACGGACCGCGACAAGCTGCGCCTGCTCTACACTTTAGCTGTCAACACGCATCCCATTCTCCTACAGGTATGCAGTGACCCCTGAAAGCTGCTCCAGGAATGGGGTTCACCTCGGACTCAGAGGAGGGCAACCCTGAGCTGAGCTCTCTCCCCCTTTTACTGCATGCCTCAGGGCAACCAACCCATGTTAGTACCTTTGTGGCATTCAGTAAATATCCCCTTTGGCTTCCAGGAGAGCTGGGAGAGGAGGAGTGCTGAGATTGCTGTTAAGAGGTGTGGGAGCTGGAGTAGGTGGAGAAACAACATCCACCTTCACTTCCTGAGGTAGCACCGAAGGGTTCTATGAAGGAGGGAAGCTCTGACCAGTGCCTCAAATATCAGTAAGATTTGAGCAAGCCCAGGGGGTGGGGAAATAGCCAAAGAATGACCCCCAGAAGTGCCCTGCAGCTACAGCTGGAAAGGAGAAAAGAATTGAGGTAATCTAAATGTCTATTCATAGGTGAATGATGAAATAAATAAGGAGCACTAGAGCCTGAGGATACACTGGTCGACAAGACAGGGGGGTGGAAAGACACTCTGGGCCAGTGCAGTGGTTCCCAAAATGTGTCACCCAAGAACCTTCATGATGTTTGGCTTATCACAGAGCCTGGTGCCTGTACTGTTATTTTTTAAAATATTTTTCTCTAAATCATCCTTAAATTGACTCTTTTTCCCCCCCATGGCCTCTTCCTAAGCAGTGATATCTCTGAAATCTCAAATAGCAGTCATTGCTTCAACTATATATCTCTTAAAATTAACATATTCCCCTTAATCTGAATACCATCTAAAATCCTGGCAAGTGCCTTAGCATTCTCATACCTCACTCTCACTTGAGAACACTGTGAAAATACAATCCACTGCATGGAAATAAGAGCTTCCTTTTCCAAATCTATTCATCTAAAACAAGAACAAAAAGGGAGGAAGGATGAGGTGGAGGTGTTGCCTTGCTCCAAGAGACTGAGGGGGGGAGAGAGAGAGAGTGAGAGAGAGAGAGAGAGAGAGAGGGAGGGAGAGAGGGGGGG